TCTGAGTCCGGCCAAAACCTCTTTTATTAAATGAATGTGAATTTATTGCCTTCCCGGTCAGCCAACAGCCTGGCAAACGTTCTAGCCAAGGTATAATCGTGAACTCGGGCCTTATCTCTCTTGGAAAGCCGCCCGGTAAATAGTTCCACACCCAATGCTGACAGGGAAGGGCTCAGCACGGAGTCTCCAGGTGACACAGACAGATCTTCACGAGGTTGGAACGAATGAACGAATGAACGAACAAATGAACGGACGGACGAATTGTCTCCTACAAACCCCACTCTCCTTTCGCTCCTCTTTTATTCCCATTCACCGTCCACCTGAGCCTTTACTCCCGAGTCGACCCTTGTTCCTCAGCCGTTCCCTTCTCCTGGCAGCTCTGTGCATGCGCACACTGGGAACAGGCTCCAGCTGCTCTTCTTCCCCACTGATTTTGGACTCCGAAGGCAGCTGATAACTGTCGGACGGCCCTGGCCCCATCTCTGCCTTCGACGCAGAGCCCTTTTCGGAGCCTTCCCCAGACTCCAGGACCGGCCCAGGTTCCCCCCACAAAACCTCCTCACTGTCCAACTTCAACGCCCAGAATTCCCCGGCCAGTTTGTCCTCCCCGCCCCTCCAAAATCAGCCACCAGTTCGTTTTTTTTTGTCCCCCAGATTGAAATCCCTCTGATCGGCCACGAAGTGTGCAAGGCAGCCTACGCCAAGCTGCAGAAAATTGTCACGACGGACATGATTTGTGCTGGAGAGGAACAAGGTAAATGGGTGGGGCGGTGAGGGAAGAGTTCTCCACTCCTCTCCTCGTTGCAGAAGACCTTAGGCCACCAGACTCGAAATTCTAGACCTAGAAAAACTAGAACTACGCCGCCTTCGGTCTGATCTAAGTATAGTATATAAAATCACACATTGCAATGTCCTACCTGTCCATGAACCTGTTCAGCTTCAACCTTAACAACACAAAAGGAAACAATAGATACAAACTCAAGGTTAATCGCACCAAACTTGATGGCAGGAAATACGACTTCAGCCACAGAGGGGTCAATGTCTGGAATCCTCTACCTGACTCTGTGGTTTCTTCCCCAAACCCCAAAAACTTTCACCTTAGACTGTCTACTATTGACCTCACCCCTTTCCTAAGAGGTCTGCATAAGCGCACCAACGTGCCTACCGCCCCTGTCCTATTGTTTCTTTTATTTTTCTTATATGTACCCATTTCATGTATTCATAACTATGTATATACTTATACCTATTATCTTGTAAGCGATTGTCAAATCAAAATAAATGAATAAAATAAAAAAATAAATCTGGAATAGCATCAGGTTAGCTCCAATAACATCTGGAGGGAAATTATATCAGCTGATTGAGCAGAAGTTTTGAATTCTGATTTTTGATTTTTCTCTCTTTCTCTCTCTCTCTCTCTCTCTCTCTCTCTCTTTCTCTCTTTCTCTCTCTTTCTCTCTCTCTCTCTCTCTCTTTCTCTCTTTCTCTCTCTTTCTCTTTCTCTCTCTTTCTCTTTCTCTCTCTCTTTCTCTCTCTCTCTTTCTCTCTTTCTCTCTCTTTCTCTCTCTCTCTCTCTCTCTCTTTCTCTCTTTCTCTCTCTTTCTCTTTCTCTCTCTTTCTCTTTCTCTCTCTCTTTCTCTCTCTCTCTTTCACTCTCTTTCTCTCTCTTTCTCTCTCTCTCTTTCTCTCTCTCTCTCTCTCTCTCTCAGGAGGAAAAGATGCTTGCAGTGGGGACTCTGGGGGTCCCATGGTGGCTTGGAGCAACCGGACTGGCCAATGGCAACTCCTAGGGACTGTGTCGTGGGGCGACGGATGCGGCTTGCAAGACCGCTATGGGGTCTATTCAAACGTCCTCTTGTCTGTCCCTTGGATAAGGCAAGTGGCCGAGATGGAAGACTGAGGCCTCACCTCCGGAGAGTTTCCCTTCCGTCCTTCCTTCCTTCCTTCCTTCCTTCCTTCCTTCCTTCCTTCCTTCCTTCCTTCCTTCCTCCCTCCCTCCCTCCCTCCCTGACTTCAGCATCTTTCAATCTTTCCTTCCTTCCTTCCTTCCTTCCTTCCTTCCTTCCTTCCTTCCTTCCTTCCTTCCTTCCTTTCCTTTCCTTTCCCTTCCTTCCTTCCTTCCTTCCTTCCTTCTCTCCCTCCTGAGTTCAGCATCTTTCAATCAGTCTTTATTTCCCTCCCTCCCTCCCTCTCTCTCTTCATTCCCTCCCTCCCTAAGTTCAGCATCTTTCAATCTTTCCTTCCTTCCTTCCTTCCTTCCTTCCTTCCTTCCTTCCTTCTCTCCCTCCCGAGTTCAGCATCTTTCAATCAGTCTTTCTTTCCCTCCCTCTCTCTCTCTTCGTTCCCTCCCTCCCTCCCTAAGTTCAGCATCTTTCAATCTTTCCTTACTCCCTTCTTTTTTCCTCCCCTTCTCTCTGCTTTTCTTCCTTCCTCCCTTCCTTCTCCCCTCTCCCCTTCCTTTCTCCCAATCCCATTCTCTCCCTTGTTTGCCTCCTTCCTTCTCTTCTTCTCTTCTCCTCTCTTCTCTTCTTTCCTCACTTCATTCTCATTCCCATCTCGTTCCTTCCTCCCTTCCTCTCCCCTTCCTTTCTCCCACTCCCACTCCCTCCCTTCGTTTCCCTTCCTCCCCTCCTCCCTCCCTTCCATCTTCTTCCTCCCTTCCTCTCTTCTTCCTCTCTTTCTTTCTTCCTCTCCTGGGGATGACAGGAAGATTGGATCCAAGCTCGGACTCAGCTGATGCAAACTCAGGTCCAAGGACCAAAAGCTAAACCGACCTGAGAAATGTGAATTTTTCCATAAAAGCTAAACCGAAGCTAAACCGCAGGACGTCTGCAGCCATGGCTCATCCTTGGGAAAGGACCCAAAAACCAGGACTCAGAGAAATCTCAGGAGAAATATATAGTAGTTCTAGGCCAGAGGTCTTCAAACTTGACTTATGGACTGCAATTCCCAGAATCCCCCAGCCAGCATAGCTTTTTCTAAGTCTACATGGATAGATAAAGGGTGGAAAATTCCAACTGGATAAATCATTTTTAAATAGTAATAGAGTATTCCAAACTAAATGGAAAAATGCACTTTTTTTTTTTTTTAAGATATACAATAAAACCTCAAAATGCATCTTTGCAATTTTGCACTGACTTGTGTTTTCAAGCCTGAAAGTAAAATAAATAAATGAGAAAAGTCCCATTTGTTTTGCTAATTTTCCATCCAGTTAACACTTCACTTAAGTCTACGCAGATGGATAAAAGGTAGACATTTCCAAATCAGATAAATAATTTTAAATAATAGTAGAATACACCAAACTGAATGGGAAAAATGAACAGGTTTCAAGAGTCCAGAATTCTTTATGAAGAGAGCTTCAAAACTGTTAGGGATACACCCTAGCAGAATCTGCACGGCAGTCAGGCAGGCAGGCAAAATATGTGAGATAAACGTTTTTTGTAGCTTACACTCAGTAAAACAGATACACAG